GTTTCCACATATATACGCAGATACACGTTATACAATGGAACTGTTTGTGTGTGTGGGGGGGGGGGGGGTGAATGAATAATGTAGCTAGTGGTTACTTTGTCACACATGTCCTGCCTTTGTTCAACTAAGCCGAGTATTCTTTAATTACACTCCTTGTTTCAGCCCAGACGGCTATAGAATAATGTATTTTTCCTTATCTGTGTTAAACTCACGGTGTTAACCATTGTCTAATTCAAACATGGTTGACAACGTTTAGGTTAGTTTGTAAATTTTATTCCGCTGCGGGGAATGTGTAATCGGATTAAGAAACTTAAAAGTAATAAAAGGCTTGGGGCGTCCCCATCACAAGGGCCGGCGAGACGTCACACTCAACAAAATTCCCAGCGTGAATAACGTATTGGACAGTTGCCAGGTGTACAGACGTGTATACCGGGTCACCGTAAACTTAAAAATCTATACGAGTGACGTCCCTGTCTACCGCTGTATTTTTATCTCCCCTTTCTTTTGGTCCTAATGCTACAACTGCGTCATCGAAACGCGTCACAGGTAGGCCCAATATCAACTGGGTCATATCGCATCCGCATTTTATGCTCGCCACGATTACGAAACGCGCTGTTCCAATAGAAGCGTCAAGTACGAACAGCGTCAAGTACGAACAGCGTGCGATACCGGTGAGTGGGAAATCCCGGGCGGACGATACTTTGTCACAGTCTTGTATTGGTAAGGCGATTCAGTTGTCAGAGTGACTCATAACAGGAGTGACTTGTCACTGTATCCGTCACACCTTCCAGGTATTCCTCAAGGCACCTGGCGGGATATATAAAGAACTTTACCAGGAGTGCCTCAATCATACTGTTTTACATTTCACGTAGGCTACTATTATCTTTCAGCTAGTGGGGACTCTATCTAAAAAGAAAAAAAAAATGGTAAGTTTTATTAGTTTTCGGAATAGTTAATTAATAAAAAGATTCGCGAATTAGTTACATTTAATTAAAACGTGGAAATGTTAGCATTTTGATAAGAAGCCGGCGCGAGAGGCATGTGTTAGGTGCGCCTGGTTTTATCAGCAAGTTGGTGGCGCGTGCCTTGATGTTTAGTCAGAGTGTGAGTTGTTTTATCAGTAGCTGTGTTTGCTAAGGGAATATATTGAATCGTTCACGCTGAATCTTGTTATAATTTGTAAAGGTTTGTGGTCAGTTTGATAATAGCCAATGTCAGATTTATTGTGTAGCAGGCTCTTTGGTGCTTGTGTATAGGGTTTCTTAGGGACGGGCTCTAGCAGAAAAAAAGTAAAGGAGTAGATGTTTGTCGTGAAGTGTTTCTTGCTAACTTTGGTTTGAAATAACTTTATGGAAATGTCATTTACGAAGTTGACAGTAAACAGTCTTGATTAGGCGTACTTAAAGCAAGTGTTGACAATAACGATACTTTAGAGCTAAACCTTAGGGTTATTTATCTTGGTTTGTGACTCCTATGATTAAAATATGTGGGTACGGCTAATCGATTTGGCTCAAATTTCGTAGATTCAACACATTGCTTTTTTTTTCAAAACAATGTGATAAATGGTTTTTTCTTTGTAATGTAACACCCCCCCCCCTTTTTTTTTTCAAACAACCACATCAGCTGTGTTTTAAAATCATGACTGATCTATAAAAAAAAAAAGTATTGGGAACTTCCTACGATGCTTAGTTCCGTTGTACAGAGATGATTTATTTGAATTTCCTTCCTGTGTGAGCTGGTCGTGTCTAGTCGTTGTTTTCCCCCCTTCCCCAATGGTCGACTGGGCTACGTGCTTCCATCTCCGTCCACCCGTCTACAATCAGCTATGATAGACCGACCATAGCTAGATTCTTTTTTTTTTCCTTTTGTACGATCACACCACTAATCCGCTAATGGCTAGAACAGAAGACCACAACTAGTTTGTATTTTTTGTGTGTCGCCTCCGTTTGATCGGTGTTATCTGGCACCGTCTCCGTGCCGGTCCATTGTCTCAGTGCGTCAGACAACTGTCAGACCGCTGCGGTAAATCATGCGAGTAACCAGATTGACGTCAGAGGCGCCTCGACTGGAACCGCGATTGTCCGTAGAACGTTAAACTCTGACCTTTATCGTGACCTTAACTGTCCCGAGATCGTCTCCTTTCAAGCAGTTGTCTGCAGTTACAAATCGGTGTCGCTGTATCACTTGTAGCAGCTTGCTGGTGTGAGGCCACTTCGATCATATCGGCGTTTACCGGCGCTTAACGTACGTTTTGTCCTTTGAAAAATGTTGCTTTGTTGTATTATAAATATCGATGTTACCGGAGAGTGTTGTGCATCATTCGATATTACATAATGCATGGATTATTGTATTGATAATTTTCTAGTAGTGTTAGTAAAATAATCAAATAGCTTTTTTAAAAAAGCATTCATGTTACTTGGACTCAGCGAAATCAGAGTTTTAAATATTCTAGTTTGTTATCTATCTATCTGTCTGTCTGTCTGTCTGTCTGTCTGTCTGTCTGTCTGTCTGTCTGTCTGTCTGTCTGTCTGTCTGTCTGTCTGTCTGTCTGTCTGTCTGTCTGTCTATCCGTCTATCCGTCTATCTATCTCTCTCTATAGATATATGTATATATATATATATAATGTATATTTTTATTACTATTATTTTACTAATTAAGGTTATTTTTAACGTTGGATGATATATCTAAGATCTCAAATTTCCTTGTCGACCGATAGGCGACTGATCTCTAAACGTCATACTTGAAATCATGAACTGTGTAATTATTACGGCTTCAACGAGTGTGCTTTTTATAGCACTTATTTTTGTTCTTACAGCGTGCGTGGGAAAGTTGTCTGGACATTAATTTAGTTTTTGGCACTACGGTATGAGAGTCTATATTTAGGTGGTCCCATTGATTTGAGGTCAGCTCTTCAGATGGCGGTGAAGAGCAGTAATAAAAAAATTCCAATATCTCCAGGGGCACTGATCGACTGATACTATATGTGGGCGACTGTCGTCTTGACCGTAGGTTTTCGTGATCGCGTTGATAGGGTGATGGGAAGTTATTAGTTTTCGTCCCGTGTTATATATAGACATAGACTGCGTCGCATTATGTATAGACATAGACTGCGTCACAATATGTATAGACATAGACGGCGTCACAATATGTATAGACATAGACGGCGTCACATTATGTATAGAGATAGACTGCGTCACATCGTGTAGTTTTTCAAGTAGTGTTTGAGTTCCTATTCAGATATTTTATCATCATCATACATAACTATTTACTGTCAGTAAATGTATCTTGCTTTTTGTATTTTAAAAAGGTCCCTCACCCCTCATTTTTATATCTTTTTTTTTACAATTTAAATTCCCCATCAGAACTCGCTACATTTTATTATCTGACGGTTTGTGGGAAAAGTCCATTTTTAGACTCTTAGCGTCTTATGCGAATTCCATTTTCCAAGTACTCTTGTCTTTTTTATGGCCTGCGGGTTAATTTCCCTTGCCACTAATTGAATTCCTACCTCCGCCTCATAAGTTGAAGGCTACCAATGAAAAGACTAGTCATCAATCACCAAACAAAAGGGTATGACTAGCGTTATTCAAGTATAAAACGGCCTCCGGCTAGCCAAAAGGGTAGCTGATCATTAGCACCAACGTTCTTGGAGGAAATGTCTACACGACCTGTTTGGCTTGTGTCATTTCGGGGCAGTTAATCACGTTTAAAGTCGGGTCAGGCGGCTACAGGAGGTGACTTTTATGTGGCCAGAACAAACAAGATAAACGTTACCGTTTCGTCACGTGGTGTTTAAACCTGGACTTCTATTGGTTAACTGCGCCCTCCAAGTGTTTCTCCACCCCCTCCCTGCTGTTTTTGAAACTGATTGCTGTGGATTTGTGGTGAATGGTTTGCACGCCGTAATCAACTGACCAGATGGGCATGTCTTGGCTGATTTATTCTACTGCTAGTCTGGCAGTGTTTGAATTATCCGCGGACTTCATCAACTTTAATTTTTAAACCTAATTATATTTGAGTATTTTATTCTTAACGCTAACAATAGCCACAAATTTCACGAGAAAAAGCATCTTCTATCGCAAGACTTCAGAAGAATTATTTTTCTCATTGGATATCGATCTTTAATCTACCAACATGATTAAAACTCAGTGTTTGAAACAGCAAGGGCATTTTTTGTTGTTGTGTTAACACAAATCTTCTGGGCGTAATTAGACAATACGATATATAGATGTATAACCGTGTATAATATAATTACAGAATTTGAATGATCAAAAGATGCCATCACTTATCTACTTGACGGTGTCCTCTCAATCATACGTAGGCACCACGATGTATTGCGACGATCCCCTTTTATAAACTGTTTTATTGCTCTAGTGTCAAATTTTCCCTAACAAACCTTATCGCTGCTTCCAGAATGCACGTCATTGCCAACACTACAGCCGCTAAAACATCGATAACTGAACTCTACCTGTATTTATTGGATCTGTACGCAGGCCAAGCTAGACATACAGTTTAGCGTTTCTATGATCTCATTAGTATGGACGCGGCCTTTGTGTAAACGCTCCGTGTGCTCCGTTATGACCTGTGTTATCGCGGGCTCCACGGTTTGATTAAGTCAGTGATCGAACTTGTGCACGGTTCGATGCACTCGATCAACTTCAGTACGGGAATTAAATTGGTGTTTGATATCTATACACTTTATTCTACACCCACCCCTCCTATCTTCGTTTAGAATTTTTCTATTTTTCTAAACGCGACACTTGAATATACGTGACTAGACCTTGTCCGACCAATATTTGTAGATCTATATAAATAAATCTGGTTCATGCTAGCCTCGTTGAGGTTAGTTTAGTGAGGTAAATAATGACACACTTTTAAAAAAAAAAACTCTACATAGATGTATTAAATAAAGCACATTTCACACCAGTCCCTCGACATTGCACATTCCCAGTTAAAGTAACTTTTGGATTCACCATTTCTGTCGTCACTTCCTCTTCGCACCCCGCCAATGACGTCACACAACACAGCCTTACTAAGGACGCTTCCAGATATTTGTTATTGTTGACACGGGTATACGAAGATGAACATTGTGACCAAGTGTCCGTCCAAACTTGGGGGTCACTCCCAGGACCACGTCCGTCTGCTGCCGCCCAACAAGCGAATGAAGAGAAAACTCAGCCTGAGCTTTATATGGAGTTTGTTCACGGGGCGTAGGTCGAAGCGCTTGTCCCACAACATGGAGTCTAATGAAAGGGTAGGCTGGGTCGTTTGTTGGTTAATGGGGTAGGTTGGTGGATTAACCTTTTGTCAGGCAAATATACCACAGGGTAGGCTGGGTCGTTTGTTGGGTGATGGGGTAGGTTGGTGGATTAACCTTTTGTCAGGCACGTATACCACAGGGTAGGCTGGGTCGTTTGTTGGGTGATGGGGTAGGTTGGTGGATTAACCTTTTGTCAGGCACGTATAGATCTACCACTGGGTAGGCTGGGTTGTTTGTTGTGTAATGGGGTAGGTTGGTGGATTAACCTTTTGTCAGGCACGTATAGATCTACCACTGGGTAGGCTGGGTTGTTTGTTGTGTAATGGGGTAAGTTGGTGGATTAACCTTTTTGTCAGGCACGTATACAATAAAAGAAACCAATTAGCATACGCTCGTTGTTGGTTGACCTTTGAAGCGAACACTTAATTGTTACTGTATAATTCATTTGTCTAACTACTAAAATTGGGGGGGGGGGGGGTGAATTAGGCCAAACAGGTTCTGGGAGTAATGTCATTGGATGAAATACCAAATACAGTAAATACAGATCTAGTTCAAACACATTCATGCTTTGTTTTATTTTGCCGAAGTTAGGCTTCCCAAATCCTGACCCATAGCCTTTTCCTTCAAACATGCCTACTTAATGCTACGAGTCACTCGTTGCTGTGCCAGTGCTTGTCGATTGGCCGGATTATAACATCGGCAGGGAAAATACAATAGATCTATCTAAGGGTAAGGACTAATGGCTATTCAGTTTGGTTAGGGTGACAATACTAGCATTAAAAACAGCTTCGATACGAGGTGCCGAACTTTTTTCACGACTTAGTCACTTAGGCCTTACAGCGACCTACGTCAGTTCATTGGCGCTATCGTGTCAACTGAACCTGAGCAACATTTTTGCACCAACACCACCCCCTTTATTCCATTAGCCCCATCGGGAGGTGCTAATTAAAGACGCAGGCGGGTTACCGCGGTGTACAAAGGTGGATGAACAGCGTTGTCTATGTGAATAATGTAGCCTGAGCTATATAAATAATGTACACATGGCAAATATTGTTTGGGAATATGTTGATGCGCCAAACTTTACCTTTGTTTTTCGGTCAACTAGTCTAACTAAATGTTTTTTTTTTGTTTGGTATTTTGTGGTATTTCATAACGATTTGTGTTGCAACAATTGTTGCATACATCAGTGTAAATAGTTAAACATGGGGTTTTATTTTTAAGCTACATTTCTTCGATCACTAGTAAAATATACCATAAGCACTTAAACTGATAGTTTTTATTACTCGTTAATTAGCCTACCATACTATCGTTTATCCGGCATTGTAACAATTCTAACAATCTTATTAAGGCTACATTTGACGATTCTATGAAGTGTAGACGAATAGCGTGGATGTAGCTGTGTGCTCGTTACTAGATCTATTTAATGAGTATTAATAGCGACTGTTTTATTTAGCTCTAATACCCCCCCCCCCCCCTTTCCCCGGGTTAGAGTCTCATTACTATAGGTATTACCTGAACCATGTCGTTGTCGTAACCCCACGTGTACAACTGTCGTTATTTGCGATAGAGTTGAGGAGTGGGTACGGCTAATTGAAAAGTACTGTTCCACGTGTGACGGTAGAAAAGTCTCAAGCTTCTTGTCAAAAGTTGCGAACATGTTGTCATTCCCCGCCCTCGGGCTGTGCACCTGTAATCTCGCTCAATCAAACGCGCCAGGTTTTGTGTGGGTCTCGAGACGGATGTCAGCGCTGATTGACGTCATAGGCTGGAGAGTTCTCTCCCTTCACCGCCAATTTTCTTATCAGCGTCTGCTTGAGCTGTCAGACTCGGCCATTCAGACCACACCATTGACCACTTCCTCCCGTGTACCACTTTATCTCAATGTCTCCCCCCCCCCCCCATTCTGGTACGTGGCCATTCAGACCACACCATTGACCACTTCCTCCCATGTACCACTTTATCTCAATGTCTCCCCCCCCCACCCCATTTTGGTGTGGTAAATGATAGTTATTGTATTGAAGCTTGACGTCAGCTGTTCAATCTGCATCCATGACACGCTTGACACCACTAATGGTTTCGACCTTCTATGTTGAAACTTACATAATATTTTTTTTGTCAGATTACATAAGGTCGTTTTTCCCTAGGAGTAAAAATAAATCTATATTGTCCATAATTAATGTGGCTGCCCTGCTTCTAGAATTTCATGTTTTTACATCTGCCATGCATGACGTCAAAAAGGGGGAGGGGGGGGGGTGTCTTGAATTCTAAGCCATTATTCTGGGTCAGAAGCCCGATGCTAAAACTAGATGGAGAATTAGGCTAATAATAATAATTCCTCCCTTCTGTTATTGTTTATTTTTGTTCAAAGTAATCTAAACAAAAAAAAAAACTGAGCTTCTTCAGAATCATGTCTGCTCAAAAAATAGCAATACTTCCCATAAGTCACTTTAAGAACCTATTCAATATTCAAATCTAATGAACCTCATTATTTTTATTTTTATGATATTTCAACACTTGCTTGTATCTTTAGCTGTCATTTCTGTGTGGAAATGTTATAAACTTGCTATATGACAGTCCAGTGTGTGTATGATGTGTATGGTACAAACATTTGATATTTTACTGTATGACAGGCCAGTATGGTACAAACATTTGATAACTTATTGTATGACAGTCCAGTGTGTGTATGTGTATGCTACAAACATTTGATATTTTATTGTATGACAGTCCAGTGTGTGTATGATGTGTATAGTACAAACATTTGATAACTTACTGTATGACAGACCAGTGTGTGTAGAATACAAACATGTTATAACTTGCTGTTTGAAATGGCCCAAGCCTTAAAGAATTGATATGGCCAGCCGCATATTTAATTTGATGGATGGCTGATTATCATTTGCACCTTAAGCTCTGCATGCACTTTGGCTTAAAATCTGACTTATTAGTGTTCATTTCTGTGTATCAGAATATTTTCTTGCACTTTAGCAAACTTCTCCCCTCTGTTAAGATGAATATTGTTTGATGGTATAGCATTCGGTTTATAAATTCATAAAAATTGTGTTGTGGTTTCTACTTTACATTAGCATTGTTGTTTGCATGAAATTTTTAATAGCATGTTGTATTTGATCTTGGTGTTGTATTTCTTTATTGAAATCTAAAGCAATAGTTTTATAACATTTTAGTATAAAGAAGAAAGCTAATGTAAATTAATACTTAACAGTTTTAAAAGTTAAGTCCTGTCTGAAAACTTTAAAAATGTTGTCTTAAGTCAAGTTTTTATTTTTAATTTTTTTCCTTCTGTAACTATCAGGCGCCAGGATCTTCTTTTGGAACTCCCAACAAAGATGAGAATATGGAAGGGTCTGGAGCAGTGGAGGATTTTCTCAATACTGGGAGAACTGGTCGACGCAATGCTATGCCAGATATAAAGGACGCAGTAACAGGGTGTGTAACAGCTGCAGGTGTGGATTTTTCCTTTGATAAACTTTCAGTTACAGGTATACATTTTTTTCATTCACTACTATAGCATGGCTTGCAATGTATGGCGCTTTGTTACATTGTACTAATCCCTAGATCTCTTTGGTTCAATAAGCCACACAGACCATTCATGAAGTTTACCTGCTGTAAAACTATACTCAAAATTTTAATCCTTTATACTTTATTATATCCAGTTTAATTTAAAATTTGCAAGTGCCATTTAACTATCTTATGCTTGACATTTAGGGTTTGGATGAAACTTAAAGCTAATAATGTTTTGTAGAATCCAGGATGTCTTGGAATTATTCCAGTTACTAGTCTTTCATTATAACTTTTAAGGAAGTAAATTTTCAACTTGCAGGTAAAATTCAATGATTTCTTAGTGCAAGGGTTAAATTATGCCTGTAATTGTAACTTTTGTTTACTCTTGTGGTTTTACTTTTGCTTACATTTTTAAAATTATACTATTGCCTACATTTATTAAATTTTACTATTGCCTACATTTTTAAAATACTTCTTTCCTACATTTAAAAAAAAGTTGTACTCAAGTAACTCAATATTTTTAGTGCATGATTGCTTTATCACTAGTTTAGACGCATGCCTTCAGTTTTTAATAAACATATACATTTTGTGTATGGCACTAGGAATTTTATTTTTAGTTATCAAAATTGGAAAAAGTAATTTTCTTGTTTGATTCTTCAGTTGCTTTTAATTTGTTCCGTTGCATGAACTAATACAAATTTGCTATTTAGTTTAAAATTGTATGCACTGTTTGTGAAATATTTTATCATAGATACAAAGATGGTGGCAGTATTTCAAGTAGCATTTATTAACTGTTTAATTCAGATTACTGTAAGATTTAAGATAGGTAATAAAACCTGCTACCTTCTATATTATAAAAGGGAGTTCAGTCAAGGAATTTTAAAATATATTATACTTATGGCATTCCTACTAATTAATTGCAATGTTATTAAGTTAATAAACTTGTAGATAGGACAAAATTATCATCACTGTATTTTATTAGGGTTAGAAACTAGTTATAAAGTGACTGAATTTATTTATTTATTGAAGATGTACTTATAAAGTTGTATTCCTGGTGTTCATTTTTTAAATTTCTTTTTTGTCACTAGATCCAGATGTAAAGCCTGATTCCAGCCAATGTCATCCCCAATGTCAAGATTCTTGTCAGGATTCACAAAATAAGAAATCATAGCATTATGTTTGTGTGTGTGATGTGGCATTCTAAGTTTCCTGCAAGACTGGACCGTAGCTAACAGACATGACCCACTCGTGTGGAACAGCCATTGGACTGATGGTGCTGGTGCCGGCGTCAATTTCTGGATGGCAGTTGTTTTTTTGTGTTACAGAATGTTCTGCTTAATAGTTCTAAATGTTTTTTAAAGACTTACATCTACAGAAATTAGACTTGGGGGAAATGACAGCTGTAAAACTTAAATGGCAACAAGTTTTATTTCAGTTGGACTTGAATGTCGTGCCTTCCCTGGCAAATAGTATTTGTCTACTAAAATGTAGCCACTATGATACCTTGCTCATGGCTATACATATATAAATATATAAAATCATCTTTGTAAATAACTATGTCCAAATGTAAATATTTTTCTTTTAAAATCAGTTTTTTGAAGGAATAGTGTTTTCTTGGTTTTAATCTTTCAGACAGTTTTTGAACTTGTCTCTTTTAACAATAATCTGTGGTGAAGATGGAATTAGTTTTTAATTGCCTTTATTTTATAGTAAGGTTTTATGTACATATATTGAAAATTCTAAAGATTTTAGTGAAGGGTACGTAGATTAAAACAGTACAGCAGTAATCCTTAATTGTATGTTAATTCTGAAGTTTCATTGTTTTAAAATAATATATCAATGTAGTCCTACCATTGGTTTAGTTTAACCAGCAAAGTAATGTGCCAATTAGTTTTTTTTTTTTTTTAAATGAACAGTAAAAAATGTATTGACTTATTTCAGTTCTCAATATTACCTAACCACCTTGGAAATCGATCTCTGCCTACTCAGATCATTCATTTTGTGTGTGTGTGTGTTTATTTTATTTAAAATATTAAACAATTTTATTTAACGCTTGAATCTCTTGATTTACTACTGTTGTTGTCTTTCACAGTTAGTGCTGTTATTTTGATCTGTTGAAACAAACTTTGCTGTGCCCACTCTTTTCATTCCTCTTAACTCATTGTGGTTTTATTGTGTTTTTTTTTTAAAGTCCAATTTGGACAGGTGCTATAGGGGCTAGAAATTTTTTTTTTCTAAAAAATAATCTGTTTCAGCTTCATTATGTTTTGCTTGATTGAAATGTTGGCTTGATTTACTAATTTTTTTTTATGTTTTGCTTTGTTTGACGTTTAATTTTTAAGCAAGATGTTTTTTGTTCTATGTTGAGCTGTCAGGTTGCACATTTCTGTATATATTAAACTACAAGAAATCCAAAATAGTTTTTTTTTTATTAAAAATCTAAGTTTTGCTCCAAGTGATATTTTTAAAAATATATTTTAAACATTTAATAAAAACATTAGCATGTGGAATAGCTGTAAAATTCAAATGTTTTTCAAACTATTAAAATTAAATGTCTTAATATTATTTTTACAAATTATTTTTAAATTGTTTAATGTAGAAAAATGGCATTACATTAAAAAAAAACTATTCCATCATAGTAATAGAAGTATTTCTTGGTTAATATATATTGGTATAACAGTATTCTCTCTTGAAGACTTGACTTTTTAAAAAAATTTATTGTAAATGCTTATAAAAAATGTAGATATATATTTATACTTTGTTAAAAATGTAGCTTGTAGCGGTTGGAAAAATTCAGTGTTTTGAAACAATAGATTTAATAGTTTGTTGTTGACTAGTCATTTTTTTATTTTATACTAAATGAATCAAGTTAATGAAATCCATTGACACAGATCAGTTTGTAGTCAAGGAGCTAAGTGGCTTTAATGGAGTACTTATTCAAATAAAGAAAAATACACAATTCAAATGTTGCTTGAAAGTATTTTCTTTCCGTAAAATGTTTGACCATTTGAATTGTTACGTTCATGTAATTGAAATATTGAAGAACAGGTTTTTATTAATCACCTGTTTAATATTTAATAAGTAAAAGTGATTTTAAAGATTGTTGTAGATTTTAATTTTAAAAAATAAGACATTCTGTACTACTTTAACTAGAAATATTGGTATTAAAGAAATAAATATTAATAAAAACTTTTATTACATGATTTTATATCACTAATGAATAAAATGGTTTTCTTTAAATATTTAATAGACTAGTTAATGTATAACTATACAAAATAGTATGAAAGTTGAAATTTTGATTGCAAGTTTGACCCATGGCAGACTAAGCAAAATGAATGACAGAAGTCAATTCAAAGAAAACCTTGTAAAAAAAAAAAGTAATTAAAATTATTTTAGGGTCAATGACAGGTCCCCTTTTGCTAAAAAGCTTTTTTGTTATTCTAGTTAAGCCTCTAGCACATCTGTGAACAAAGGGACGGAGTGGTCTAGTGGTAGAGAGCTAGACTGCTAACCCGTTAGTCTCGAGTTCGAATCCGGGTTCAAGTCAGTAGACTGTCACTGAGTCCACCCAACTCTGATGGGTACCTAACTCACGTTAGGGAAAGTAAAGGCGGCTGGGCATAGTGCTGACCACACTATCTCTTCATATGCAGATGTCACAGAAACAAGTGAACTCTACTTCACTTGCCCAATAGACCATCATGTTTGAAAAGGGAACTTTACTTACATCTGTGGAGAAGAGGGTTTTGGGTGAGATGACTTGCTTTGGGATATATAGTCCCTTAGGTCATCAGTAGGGTGTATTTGGGTTATTTGTTTATAGCAAGACAAGTCCAATATACCTTGGATAGATTCATCTGTTAAAATTAAAGCAAAAAAAATGTATTCACCTTGTGCTATGGCATTTTAAAATAAACTCCTACTTATACATATCCCCCCCCCCCATCAGTGGCCAGATAAATTGGTCACATACACAAACTACTGGGCTTAACCACACTACCTCATTTGTGGACAAATAGTCACATGCACTACCTGGGCATGTCCACACTAATCCCTGTACGACCTACTACTCCCCATCTGTGGACATACGGGTCATCTACACTGGCTGGGTGTGAAACAGGACACCTACCCACAATACTAATCATTTTTGTTGTGGTAAAATAAAACAGGTCAAGTCTGCTGCACCTACTTCTGAAACTCACACTTTATCTCCTGAGTGGGTAAAAAAAAAAACAAGCGAATGAACATCTTTTATAGTTTTTGCTAAGCTGGCGGTTTTTTCCTAAAAAAAACTCTTGCATAAGGCATGGTATACCAAGGCCGTGAAAAATCATGCGCTGCACTGCCCAAGACCAGTAAAGGGAAGTAATAACGATATTATAATTTGCAACTAATATTAATTAGATCATTGGCTTCAGTCGGACTTTGGTAGACTCATCTGAATCTTTAAAATGGTAAAATGAGAGTACCTTATGGTTTAACTCCATTTATTTCTAACCCAAGAACTTATAAAGAGTATTTAATTAAATGTAGGATAATAATTTAAATAGGCCGATAGGTCAATAAAATATTTGATTTGTTTTTCGTTTTTTTCACCCGGTATAGTAAGGTTAGGTGGTGTGGTTAATTTACAAATGAGTTTTGTAAATATTTATACTTTTATAATTATATCTTTCGAACTGCAGGGACCTATTACATTGCTTAGCTTTCCTTAGCACTATTATAATACAATCATTGTAACTATTTAGATTTAAATCTAACTAATTTTTGCTAACTGCCAAAAAAAAAATATTTAAAAAATCAACAAAATATGCAATTCTTTCCTTGTTAAAGTTGATTTTAAAAAAAATGAATAGCTTAAACTTAAATGTTTTAGACACCAAGCTCACCCCTCTCTCGTAGTCAATACGTGCGTTTTTTTTTCTAGGTCGTGCATTCGATGAATTGCATTTAAAACATGACGATGTAACTAAGTGAAGAACAAAAGATTTTCCTTTGCAGAATAGGGTTGTTGAAAAGTACGTGCATAAGACCCTCTTCTTTTTCTATTGTAACAATAATGCTTATTTTAAATATATAAAACAATAGGTTTAGAAACCCTCCTCGGTTTAAAATTGATTTCTTCTAAAATATAGACTGACCTCGATCAACACAGAATATTTTAATTATTTCTACTACAATTTATTAAAAATAGTTTTCTTAAACGCAAAATAAGGGCTACAATTCAGTCTCTAATGTAACGTTACGTTTTTAAAATGCTGCTTGAACCCCTCTCCCCTCATCACATAACGTCAAAAAATTGCAACCTCCCCCTATGAATGCAACGTCATTTATGAACGCCCCCCCCCCCCCCCATTGTGAAAAAATATATATCTGGGTGCAAAAGTTTCAGGCAAAGTATGCAGGCCTGAAATTCACGCCAGAAATATGGCGATATAGAAAGATAAAATCTTAATCACAAAACGGAAATAATGCTCTCACTAGTAATGGCATACATTTCTGTACGCTTGCGAATGTTGGACATCGTCGGACACGGAAATTAGATGCTACAGGAAGTTACAAATGAAACTAATACAATGACCACATTTCAAATGGTGCATAGTACGTGACAGTATCTAAAGCCAAACTTAAATTGGTCATCACTATTGTCATGATACCTGCTAGCAATCGTTAAAAGAAAACGGTTACTGAAACAATGCGCGCATGTCACAGTGAGGACGAGCAAAAACTCTCTTTCAAGGGCCGGTGATAGGCCTATATATGGATAAAAGGCTTGGCGATGAAAAAAATTGGGAAGACAAGATTAGAAAATGGACGTTTTTAACACTGGGAGAAGCACTGTGGATGGTGGATGACAGATTTGGCGCAGTGTTTCCTCCAGACTTTTTTCTCCTGGGGGGGGGGGGGGGGGGGGGGGGTCAGAATTTTCCGGAGCCCCCCCCCCCCCGAAGAGATGCCTGGAAGAAACTCTGATTTGGCGCCACTAGGATCAAAAGAATCCTAGGGGCGCCACAGTGGATCCACCTAGACAAAGCGGAGCAGACGGGGAAAAAAGGCTAATCGAGTCTTGAATAGCCTGAGTAGGCTTATAACTTATATTGAACAGCACATAACCATATTATAGAATTAATGTAAGCTTAGGCTAACTTATTTAGTTATTATTTTTAGCACCCATCTATGTCGATAATTTTAAATTAGAATTTGCCAGGTTGAACGTGCTGGTTGTGTAACAAAACAGTACCTAATCTAACGCTAGATCTAATTGTATGCGCCCATATAATCGCATAACTAGGTTGGGCAATAATATGTAACACAAACAGAGCTATAATGTTATATAACATTTTCATAGCCTCGGGGAGTATTTCTAGCAGCATTCATGTTAAAGGGGGACACTGGCCAACCGTTCTGAATCCCGAAATGTAGTGGCCCCAATAATTTATTTTTATAGCTACTATATATAAATGCCCCAAGTTATCTGCATATATCAACTGGAATCAGAGTTTCTTCCAGTCATCTCTTCGCCCCCCCCCCCCCCCCCCGAAGAAAGTCTACCACTCCCCGAACGAAATAGAATTTATATAGAAAATATATACTTTTACCAGTGTCCGCCCCCCCCCCCCCGGAAAGTGTTGACCGACCCCCCCCCCCCCTCGAAAAAATATCAAGTGCCCCCCCCCCCCCGGAGAAAAAAGTCTGGAAGAAACACTGGCTGGAATAACAGTCATTGTTGTCGGCAAATTTTTTGTAATTGAGAAAATATTTTTAAAAATGATATTGACATTCTGTCAATGTAGTTGATTTCGGGCATAGTAAAATTTAACTCAGCTAACACTAATTATTTTTAAATATTACAAGCTGAGCTCATTTCTCTCCAGTGAGAAACGCAAAATTGCGAGTAATCTATGCAATGTTGTATTTTAAACTCTATTGAACTGTTCAAATCCATCTCAAAATATGACTGTACAAAGATTGAGTTTTAGATAGCTCAAAGCGTCGTTTACACCAATAGATGTTGACCCATTTGAAAACCTGTTTTGTCATTGCTCTACTCATCAGAACAAAAAATACCCGAATTGCTTCATCATTGCACGTTAAAGAACCATTAGACATGTGAGTCTAAACCATAGAACAAAATGACAACTGTTGAAAAATAATTAGATTTAGTTGCTGGTTATTGTGGGAAAAATAATTTTGCTTTTCTTCTTCAATTAACTCTTATTGTATGACCATTATGCCTACTTTTGAACTACTCTTTGTCTTTTTTTTTTTCAATTGGACCATCCTATGTCTATTATTTAAATTTGAATTTAAAGTAGTTTTTATAGAAACAATGTCATTTTCTGCTTTAATGAAGCAATAGATGAGAAATAATAAGTCTAGAATTAGAATCTAGATGTTCAGTTTTATTTCGGTCGATCTAGATTCTAGGTCTAGAAATCTAGTTATTTTTCGGTATTTAGGGAGACTACTACCCCACAAGTTAGTAGTCAATTCCTTCGACTTTTTATTTTTGTTTTCGCAAATATATTGATTAATGAAAGATGGCGACCGTCGTTGCAGGCCAGTTTGACTTTTGGTTGACTGAAAAGTTAAAATCTGCTAGTACGGATATCGATACAGATGTTTTTGTCAGCTATATTATTAGTATATTAGACACAGAGTCAACAGCCGAAGAAAGGGAAGAAAGTATAACAGAACTTTTAGCCGGTGTTGTGGTAAGTTGTCCGTTAAAGCTGAGTTGACTAGTTCATCAAAGTTGAGTAGTCAGTAGACTTGAGTAGACAGAGTCAGAGAGTTCAGAGTTGTGGTTCATTTGGAGTTGCTCATTTGTTCAAAATGTGTTGTTATAATATAATCAATATTCAATCAGTGACTGCTAATCCAAATGAATTTAATGAAAGCAGTAGGTCTATTTATTTTTATTTCAGACAGACACTTTCTCCAAGGGGGGGAGAGGGGGGGGGGGGAAGGGGGTATGCTAGACACTAGACACAATTACTAATAATTAAGTAATAATTTATTAATTAGGCCTACTAATTAATTACAAATAAGTAGGCCTATTTACTTATAAAAGTAGGCTATTAAAAAAAAAACAACAACCCAATTTCATTTTCAATCAAGGGGGTAGATCTAGTAAGCAAGCATGCCCCCCTCCCACGCTTGAACAGAGTGCCTACACTACTTAAAGACATTCTGAATGTAAGTCTCTAGTTTTAATCCGGAACTTGAGTCTGTAGCTGACATACCAGCTCATTAGGGGGAAAAATTGTGACTGGGCATGGTGCTGACCACACTATTTCTCATATAACAAAGTAATACAGATGAACTCTATGTCATTAGTCCCATGTGTCTTGGGCATGAGCCAGGAAAGATGATGAGGTAAAATTTTTAAAAGTAGGCCTATAGACAGACCTATCTATTTTTGGAGTATTGGTGTTGCAATCGTCCGACATTGAACAATTCAGAAAATTGGTGTGTTTACTTTGTTATTAGTTGTCACTATTATTGTGTGTTATGTTCAGGACTTAAGGTTAGGGCTAGCATTGAAATTAGCAAATGCAAGTCACTTTTGTATTTAGTTAAAACACCCCTAAATTTTAGAAGATTAGTCCTATGTGATTATTGTGGCATTAGCCGACACTGGGAGTAACACACCCCTCTATTTTTCTTCTCTTTTTAAATATGCTCAGGATCACAGGAATAAGCATTTGTGGGCTATCTATATAAAATATTTACATTGTTATAAAGGAATTTTAATTATATTCATTAAAATTAGCTATCAATATCAAATATTGACATATTGAAAGGCAGCTTTTAAAAATTTGACATAGCTCATTATCTTAAAGTTTATTAGAATTTATGGTTCACCTATGATGTCTATCCCCTCCTATTCTCGATTCCGTAATGCATTTGTATTTAGTCATTAAATGTCTTTTTTTAAATATACTTTTTTAAAAAATTGCTTGTTTATTTACCAAGGATCCAGGTTTAGCTGTAGAATTATACAAATCCATATTACAACAGTGGGATGCTGAAAATGCCAACAAAAAAACAGAAACAGTTAAAGAGGGTTAGTATAGTATTATACTTGCTGTTACATTTGGCCTATCAATTCAGTTGAATAAAATTTAGGTTCTTTCCTGTTTAACTAGATAAAAGACATGGTTTATGTGTTGTTGATTGCAAATACCAGTGTCTCATATTGATTCGTATTTATATAAGTAACAGGAGTTGTTATCATAAATTTAGAATGAGCTTTACATATATGAATATTACTATTTCCTTAAAGTGTAGTTCTGACATTGCCATGCTATTTATTGTTTTAGATATAGGTGAGAAGCTTTCTGCCATGTTTGGCAAGCAGACACTGGCCACTGTGCAAGAGAAGAAACTTACTAAAGAAGAGGCTGATAGAAAAGCTGCTATCTTAGCCCAGTATGGGCAGGTTTCTGATGGGGAAGAGTATCCTTTTCATTTGGTCACATTATATTGACGCAATTAGTATTTCTTCTAACAAAAATTGCTTAAATTTTTTTTCCTCTTTTATTTTTATGACATATCTTAATAGGTTGTTCTTTTAGCAAGTTTAATGTCCAACTTAAAATATTTTTATCCATAATGTTTACAGTTTTATCACATCGGTATATTTTAGTTATGAAATGACTTTGAAATATTTCTTTTAAGGTCCTGTATGAAATAAAAAATGTCTGGAAACCTATATGCCTTAACTTGAACACAGATCAGATTCAGATGAATGTAGCGAAAATGAAGATGTCCCCACCCTCGGAGCAGCCAAAAGTGACCCCTCTGATTGTATCCTTTGTTTTAAGTCACTCTACACTTCCTGTCATATTCATAAGTATTTGCATGATTTATTGAAAATAAAATTAAAACTAAAACTTATATCTTGAAATACAGACTCACTACTGTCAGTAAACAGGTATACTTTTAATAATGAAAGAAAAAAGCAAACACAAAATATTATAAAACTTACTTGCATTTTGTTAAACGTTGCCTAGTTTTTCATATTTGTGGTCCATAGAGCAGATGTAGAGTTCATGTGTTGCTTTAATCTTGGTAGAGAGAATTTTGCTGTCATCGCTATGCCCAGCCACCTTAAATTTACCAAAATCATAACTGGGCTTAGGAAGCAAACCTCAAGACATTAAGATTAGCAGTTGAGCGTTGAGACTTGGCGGCCCTTATTCAAAATCTTTAAAAACCAAGTAGTCTCATTCTACATTTGTTTTGGTTGTTATGGGCCCTTGACTAGGTTTCTAGTATTGCTCATCAGAAATGTGAACAAAGAGGAAGTCCAAAGAGCTGAGAGGGAGAAGAGGGAGAAGGCAAAGGAGGAACAAGAGAAGAAAAAAGAGAAAGACAAACAAGATCGGGTAGCCCAGAAACAGAAACAACAAGAAAGGAAAGAGGCTGAGAAGAAACGCACTTCCAAGGGAGAGAAGAAAAGATAGCACCCATAATTTACAATTAGCATTATAATATTATAATAGTTGTGTAGTTTTTTAAAGTATTTTAATTATTATCTTAAGAATAATTATGTACATGTTTGCTGGGCATTCTTTTCTGCTTAAAGTCAAGAGTTTATTTTTTGATTTGTAGTTTTTCAGGAATATTTTTCTCAAATTGACAAATTTAAACTAAACTTGATATTGTTAATTCCCTTTGTAGTGCATTTTATTCCCCTCACTGTATTTAAAAAAATTATTTTTTAATAAACATAATATTTGTATTTTATGTTTAAAAACATAGGTATTTTTTAGATTAAAAAAAATTGCATTATAATTATTTTTTTGAGGGTTTTATTTTTTTATTTCATGGACATTATCAAAAAGCCTTAATAATATTGCATGATCATATAATATACATTTTAATTATTCAGTTTGTACATTTAATTTTTTGAAAATGACCTATGTTCCGGATGTTAGTTTTGTGATTATTAAATATCCCTTTTGTATAAAATCTACTTATCTGCTTGGTTAGGGTTTGCTTACTGAATCTTGGGCCTCTCTAGTCTATATTGTTGGTGAGTTTTGTGCACACAAAACCGTAGCGTTTCATTGAAGTCTCAGTTTTGTAAGAAAAAAAATTCAGAAAATTTTTTACCTGATGTTAACAATTTTAGACACTTGTTCCAGTTTATAAAATTTTTAAGGAAATAAAATAATAAAAGCTGGAAAATGTTTTTTGGTGTACTTAAATCAAATTTTATTTCTTTTGCCAACTCCCATTAATTTACCACATTTAAAACTTACAGAATTCTTTTTCATAGTCTTAATTTAGCTTCTTTTGAAATTGCTGAAAATTTTTTGAGTTTTTTGAAGTCCCTAATATTATTGGGTGAGTGCAATCCCCTGTGGTCAGGTTTTAAAATGAGTTATGGTGACAGTTTCAAGTGTTTGCTGTGACATTTCAATGTCAGCAGTGTGCTAGTAAGTTTTACTGTTTAGCATCAGTTACTGTGCTTGTCAGTATTTTACTGTTCAGTCTTAGTGTCACCCTGGGCCTGTCATGTTGACAATGTACTAACCCTGGTAAGAAATGTCTGTGATTTAAGAACATAGTATTGTATTGTCACATCCACAATTTTCTCTACTGTTAACATGTAACTGTTTATGCTTACATTGTGTCACCAATGTGCTGTTTGAAGCCAACATCACCTATGTTGTGTCACCACTGGTGTTTCAAGCCAACATTTCCCTTGTGTCACCAATCTGAAGTATCAAGCCAATATAACTCTTTGTCACCATTGTGCTGTTTGAAGACAGCACCACCCATATTGTGTCACCATTCTGCTGTTTGAAGACAGCATCACCTATGTTGTGTCACCAATGTGCTGTCACCATTGTGCTGTTTGAAGACAGCACCACCCATGTTGTGTCACCATTCTGCTGTTTGAAGACAGCATCACCTATGTTGTGTCACCAATGTGCTGTCACCATTGTGCTGTTTGAAGACAGCATCACCCATGTTGTGTCACCATTGTGCTGTTTAAAGACAGCATCACCCATGTTGTGTCACCAATGTGCTGTTTTACTATGTTGTGATGATTTCTCTTATATCAGCATTACATTCTTGGAGCTAAAACAACAATGGCCTTGTTTAACAAAGGGTTGTTACTGAGTGGTGTGTAATGTAAGGGGTTGTCCACTAATGATGTATAATTTTAGAGATTGTCCATTAGTTACTCCTAATGTATTGGGTTGTCCTTTAGTGTTGTTGTACTGTAATTGTAGTGTATGGGTTATTCATCAGTTATTCATAATTTGTTTCATCAATTTGTGATGTGTAATGTAAGAGGTTTGTCAGTCATGAGTAATGTATGGGGTTGTCCTTTAGTGATGTGTAATGTAAGGGGTTGTCCTTTAGTGATGTGTAATGTAAGGGGTTGTCAGTCATGAGTAATGTATGGGGTTGTCCTTTAGTGATGTGTAATGTATGGGGTTGTCCATTAGTGATGTGTAATGTAAGGGGTTGTCAATCGTGAGTAATGTATGGGGTTGTCAGTCATGAGTAATGTATGGGGTTGTCCATTGGTGATTTCACATACCAAAGCAGGTTCAGATTTGTGATCCTGCTCTGTATGACTGTAAGGAGATGGGGATGGAATAAAAGAATGTGAAGCTGCATACGTTTTGGATTTATTAAAACAAACAAAAATGTAATTTATTAAAAAAAAATTAAAGTTATTTTAGTAGTGTTATGAAGTTGTTGTAGGGAGAACCCTAGCTTGGTGTGGCGTAAAAATCAGCCAATTTGTCTGATGTCATTAAGGGTGTGGTCTAGATGAGAAGAATGTACCAGAACACATTTTTAAAATTTTTGAATTTTGTACCAGATGAATACGAAAGATATAGTACAATAATTAACCAAGTTTTATAAACTTGTTTGTATGAAGATAAAAATATTTGCATAATAAACCCAGATCTGAGATTGCATAGGACTCTGGTGTTATATCATTAACCGTAGTAGCTTCTGTTAAAAATACGTAGCTAACTCTTTGAAGAATGTTATTCTTGTTGCTTGAATCTATAGGTTTTCAAATTTATTTTTGTAGCTTGTTTACTCAGTCCCAACCACAGAAGGCTGAGTTGAAATTATTTTTTGTTATGTAGTAATATACTAAATAGGCTCAAAGATTTGAAGGGATTTCTAGTAATATTGACCGTTTCTAGTAATAGAAGAAGTCTCTTGTAATATTAGGTGTAGGTGCCTCTAGTAATATAGGTTGACTAGAAATTATTTTTTTTTTACACTGCTTTTAAAAAAATGTGGTTTTTAAATGTTCTCAACGATAATTTTCCCCTCTCTCACATATTGTTTGGGGGAAATACGAAATAGTTAAAATACTTGAGCAAGTTTACTTGAACAGAATCCAGAGACGATGCATGTTTTAGGGAGTTTTGGTGAAATGTGTGCCCCCCCTCCCCACTTCCCCCTTGAAAGGTTTTGATATATACGATGGGAGCAGGATATAATCACCAGGCATTATTCACCTGTATGTTGCAGTGATTTGCTGCAGTAGAACATTAAATAGACATATAGATAAGAATAGGGCAAGGATAGGGATTAAGTTTGTGAACTTGAGAAGGATAGGTATAATATGTATAGGCGGGAGGGATAATTGACAGAAGATGTGAGTCACTTTGTTTTTACAACAAGGAGTCACAGATCACTGCTTATGTAAAAAATGAGGATGACAGGCCACTGTTTTTGTGAAGTTGGGTCGGGTCACTTCTTACTTTTATAAAAACTCACTGTTTTTATAAAATAAAAACTCACTGTTTTTATAAAATAAAAACTCACTGTTTTTATAAAATAAAAACTCACTGTTTTTATAAAATAAAAACTCACTGTTTTTATAAAATAAAAACTCACTGTTTTTATAAAAAGTGGGTCAAATGTAATTTTGTTGATGTAAAGTGGGTTAACAGGTAATTTTTCAGGTGACTGATTGCATACAATTATTGTAGCTGAGCAGTTGTACAAAAAACATGCTCATCTTACTTTTGATTTATTGATGAAATTGTAAACGTATTTTCTATTAACATATCTTGAATTCATTAAAGAAAACCGGCATAAATATAGAGTTTAATTAATTAAGCATTACTATTTAAAGAATGTTTTATTTATGATTGAATCTGACTTAAATTTTTTTTTATTCTGACTTTTTTTCAGTTGTTTTAAAATAGAATGAAAGATTTTTTAAGTTGTTCATTGAGATTGTAAGGTTAATTTAATTTAGTTAAAGTTATTGCATTAAATATAATTTGGTTGGGTGAGTTTGGGTTGCTTGATTAACCAGGAACACAGTGTGATGTAGGAGTGTCATTTTATTTCAGGGGTTAACTTTGGTTTGTTTACTCATTAGACTTTTATTGAGGATAGCATTAGTTTTTCCAATGACTTGGTTATTGTTTACTGACCAGACTTATTAAGGATAACATTAGTTTTTCAATGGCTTGGTTATTGTTTACTGACCAGACTTATTAAGGATAACATTAGTTTTTCAATGGCTTGGTTATTGTTTACTGACCAGACGTTTATTTTGGATAACATTAGTTTTTCAATGGCTTCACTTGGTTATTGTTTACTGACCAGACTTATTAAGGATAACATTAGTTTTTCAATGGCTTGGTTATTGTTTCCTGATCAGACATTTATTTTGGATAACATTAGTTTTACAATGGCTTCACTTGGTTATTGTTTACTGACCAGACTTATTAAGGATAACATTAGTTTTTCAATGGCTTGGTTATTGTTTCCTGATCAGACATTTATTTTGGATAACATTAGTTTTACAATGGCTTCACTTGGTTATTGTTTACTGACCAGACTTATTAAGGATAACATTAGTTTTTCAATGGCTTTACTTAGTGTCATTTTCAACACATAATTCATATCTTTCAACACTGTATGGGTATTTTGATTAACTTATGAACAAACAAAAATGGTTGCACCATTCAACTTTTCTTGAATGGATTCTTATCTACTCTTAATCTTATTCACCTAATAAATAGAATATCTTAGAATTTACATATACATTTTTTTAAAAATGTTAATAGATAACCTTAGAAAAAGAACATCTTTCTCTTTGTATTATGTAAATTATCTATGTACCCTGTGATTATCTGTTTGCACTTTTTTTTTTTTTTGCATTATGCTGGTGAAATCAAAATTATTTATTAAAAGCAAAGATGAGTTTTAAAAAAGATGCGTTAAATATTTTAAAAGTTTGTTTACATAATGTGAGTTTAGTGTACTTTACCATAGATGTTTGCCTTGGCCAGAGGCGTCGCGAACGGTGGGGGGTGGGGGGGGGGGGGGGTTACATATGTCCTAAAATGGGTTAAAAAAATCAAAAGCTCATTTTAGCTGCAGTTTTGGATTATAAATATAAAAAATTTAGGGGGGGGGCACCAAATTGAAAGTTCATTCCCGGGTGCCTGGAAGGGTCGCTACGCCTGTGTCTACTGCTTAGCTGATGAAGAATCTCTACTTGTCTAACCTCAAAAATTTGACTACTTCAGATGTTAAACTGAAGGTCTTTATAAAATTATAAAAAATTGCATAAATACAAAGTAAAACTGCTTTACCATTGCTTAAGTTTTTAACGATGCAACCTGCAATATCAGATTTAGTAGGTGCAGTGGGAAGAATTTGCCTCTAGAAAAGTGTATACTTGGTTGGTATTAAGATGGTTAGTTACATTGCTAGGTCCCTTCTTTGTGTTACTAGATGGCCACTACTAACTCATGAGCCCCTTTAAACTTCCATGATGTTTCAGAGATTTCAAATTTTAAAAAAAGCCTAAAAACTCCTGAAATTAAAACGACACAATACATGTTGAGAATGGGCAATATTAACTGGCTTTAAGAATTTATAAACTGCTGGGTAAGTCTAATACTAATGTTAATTAAGTGTAATTCATTTTCCACCAACATTAGTTTGAAATAATTTTACTTTCAGAACAAATAAAACCTCCGTACTGTGTCCATACAAATATGAACTGCAGTCATACAAATATAACCTCTACATGAACTGTCTATTGTCCTTTCATTTGTACTTAACATTTTAATACAAACAAAATAATGAATAAAGAAAGTCAAGATTTTTGTATTATGCATTTTATTTATTGAAATGATAATCGTTAAAAATCATTAGATCTCTACTAGTTGTCTATATTTTTAAAATTTAGTAATAATAAATGAAAACTATTCTATATGTAAATGGTAGTTTTTGTAGAAGGAATCATGCACATATTATAGAACACAAAATGGGACCCATGCCCCTTACCACCTTTAATATTATGATACTGAAGCATTTCTGCAGACCTCGCATTTAATCTTTTCTATGAAGCCTTACACCAAGAACCAGGAACAAATTAGTACAACAAACTGCTAGAAATTATCATCGCATAATGTTAGAGTAAATCACTAGTTACATCTTCCTTATCAATATCTGCAAAGAACTAAATTGAAAAAAAAAATTCTGATTTATAAGCTAGAGGTGTCTGATAATTCATCCAATCAGTGAAAATTTGATTGTAGATATTTCATGAAAGAAAGATTGAAAAAAATATTTAAATTTGTGTTGTTTAAACATTTCTATACAGCCCAGCCCATACCCCATAAAGGCAAACCTACGCCTACTCCATGTTATGTAATATGTGCCTGATTCCAATGGCAGTGATCAGTATGTACATGTTATTTATTCATTTTAATTAACATGTTATTAATGCTTTAAAAATATTTTACCTAAAATATAAGTACAAATAAGTAAATGAATCATTGGGGCAATACAGTAAATAGGCCATGAACAATTTTTTTGGAATTACTGTCCTTTACTAATAATTTGTCTTACGTCCTAAAAGTTGATGCCCTTGTGTTCACCTAACTAATAATTAATATATTCAAATCTTTTTAAATTAATAAGTGATGTCCTAATAATTAAACTAAAATTATGAGTTTGGCTGATATTCTGAGGTTAAATCTAGAATTACAGACAATAGGGGTAATTTAAGCATATAAATCTTATTTATTTGATATTTATTTTAAATATCCAATTTATGGCAGATGTTTCTAGAACTGGAACCTCTGAGCTTAACTTAAATATAAAAATATTTAGGACACAATTTTGTGATGAGGATCATTGAACATTTTATAAAAATAAAATAACTTCAAAGAGGTTGACTGAATAAAATTGTTTTTTTTAAATTGTCTTTCAAAAAAATAATATAAATTAAATCAATGAACAAAATAAGTTTGTCTTTCAAAAAAATAATATAAATTAAATCAATGAACAAAATAAGCATTTAATCATATTTTAAAGATAATATTTACATTTGTTTATTGTGTTAATAAAACAGTCAAACAGCTGAATATTTTATTATCAAATTGGTGGGAAAAGTATCTAAAAAGAAATTTATGGGTAAGTAACCACTTGCATAATGTAGATTCTGGACAAGTTTATTTTTAAAGGCACATCATCAACTGGCAATTTCTGCCATGGCACTTTAATCAACTTAAAATAAAAATATTGATTTAATGGCTTTTGACATCAGTCATCTTTGTTTGGGGCATATCTTGTTATTCACACTGACCAAGTTAGTTTCAGAAATACACAGTACATTTATTTTATAATTTTTATTTTATTTACATGATTTTAAACAACTTTTAGAAATGGGCAATGAAACAGCTCATCTGTTTGATGAGTATTTCAACAAAACAATAAAAATAATTTTTATTAAAAACAGAAATTTGAACAGTGATAGGAAAAATATAAGGCAAATTGTTTATTATATTTACAGTTGCAATAAATACCCTTTTTTCTCTCTCTGTAAAAAATGTAAAGCAACATCAGGGGAATATTTTTTATAAATATGAACATTTATTTACGATGTAAATGTGTATTAGAAAGTAAAATAAAAAGTTGAACTGTATTTTATGCTTGAGGATTTCTCTGAGAAATGTATCACTTGATGAGTGTACAGACGGTTTGGTTGAGTTGTGTACATATTAAACAGGCAACAGGTAATGTTAAGTCTAACAGTGTTAATACTGCTTGGTCAATACATTTGACACAACAAACAATGCAAATATGGAAGTAAGGCTTTGAAGCATAGCGTTATGAAAGTATTTTTTAAAAATGTACATTTTTAACAAAAAGAAATACATCAAATTTTGATTTTACAGTTGTCAATACAAATTATTTTAATATCTATAAAGTAAAACAAGATATTTATACTTTTGAGTTTTTAAATTCATTTAACACATACATTTGCTTGTAAAAACCAGGTTTTTTTTTAATATTTGAAAATACAAGATAAGTTTTCAAAAAAGTAAGTCCTATTTATTCCTTCATGGGGAAAAAAAAATTTGGGAACAATGTCCAAAAGAAAACTTTTAATAATTATGAACTTTTTAAGGATCCGTTCCAACACTAAAATTAAGAATGAAGAAGAAGAAGAACTATTTCCAAAAAAAAAAGATTGTAGGAAAAGGTTTTAACTTTTTCCAAAAATATTTAGTTTAAAACAAAATCATGTTTTTAACTTGAACAGGTACTTGTTTGCTGACTTTCCCAGGAACTTTTTTTAAAGAGCACTTAAGACAACATCACAAGAATCAACAACCTTTCAGCTTCATAAGAATTGGAACAGGTAAGCTAATGAAATGAATAAAAAAACAGCTCTGTGCCAATTTAAAAAAAAAAAAAAAAGAGTATAAGGATCACACAGCATCAGTTAGTGCCAATTTTTGTGGCAAAACATCAGACCACTAAGTAAATGATGAACACTTTCTTAACATGATAGAGTTTCAACGACCCAATAGTGAAAAATGAACACTTGCATGAAAAAGTAAAAAATCTGCAGGTCACTTGGTAAAACATGAATACTTCATGAAATAAAAAAAAAATCAACCACAAATGCCATTTGTTCTAGAAGGTCATTCCATAAAATATTTCAGACTCAAGTACACTGTGACCTGTGTTATTGTACTGTCTTAAAATAAACAGAAATTTCCATAACTTTTACCGGCAAAAATAAACTTACCTTTTTAAACATTATTTGAATATTTAAAAAAAAAATAAGTAGAAATGCACTATTCCCCCTGGTATTTAAGAAATTTCAAAGCTGAAATAAAATTTCAAATAACAGTCTCCGCAAAGTCATCTTTATCACTGTCAGTGGAATCTACCAGCTGAATGCTGCCTGTGTAAGATGGGAGTTCTTCACTTCCAGGAGATTCTAAAGTTGTGTCATTGGATGTATTGAGAATGTCTGCCTTGGTCATATGGGACTGAGGTATCCTCTGATGGCCAGGCTGGCTGAATGAGTATAATTCATTTTGAAAATTTTGGCAGTTGGGCTGGAGAACAGGTCGATCACCGTTAAAGTTTGGCGCATTACTGTTGTGGATCGACAAGACCATGTTAGCCGGTGCCGCTATGGTCCCTATTTGTTTAGCACCGCTGACAGAGTTTCTGGTAGCGTCTGTGTTCTGGTTGTAACCATAGACTCGCTCGTGGTGAGCACTGTTTTTGTTTAAGATATTCGGAGGAAGACGTTTCCTGTTGCCTTCTTCCACAGACTGGCACCGTCGCATGGCCACGTAAGGTTGTTCCTGCACTGAACTCTGCATGTTATCCACCGCGTCGTCTATGTACGGGTCCTGTTTTATGTCTCTCAGCCGCTGCTGTGTGTTAGACAAGTATGGATTCTGACGTAGTTGTCTCTGATTTGTGATACAAAAGCGACGTTCGCTGATGTGGGCTGGCTGCCTTCCCCTTGATTGCATTTGTCCTGCAGATGTTCTAGTGTTTGCCAGGATACTCTCCAGTGGCATTGATGAGCTGTCTGATGAGGAATTGTGTGGTTCAGAGGATGAGCTTGAAGCTGACCTGTCAAGTAGATTTCCCATATTTTATATTCAAGTTTAATTATCAGTCAAGTTAATAATCAAGTTAAAGTGTGGTACAACCAAATTAATAATCAAGTTTAATGTGCAATACAAGCAAATTAATAATCAAATTAAAATATGTGGTGTAAGCAAATTAATCATTGAGTTTAAGTATGGTACAAGCATATCAATAATTAAGTTAAATTGTGCTAAAAGTAGGTTAATCAGTGATTAACTTTTTAAAAAATCTAAGGAAAATAAAATTTTAGTCTAAAAATTTATGTTTTTGTGACCTCTGCTTGGTTTTAAGAAAGTCAGGTACCCATCAGATTAAGATGAGACTTCCTTCAGACTCCAACATAGGATATGATCTCTAGATTGCGAAGTTAGCGCTCTATGACTAAACTATGCCTGCTCACATTATGCCGCTTTACAGCAGGTTGTTATATAATCATGACTTTAGTAGCTCAAATGCAATGTTAAACTAGCAAAAAAAAATTGTTCTTAAGAGATTTGAACCCCTTACCTTAAGGATGGATGCTTGTGCACTGACTCCAGGGACTGGTACACTGGGGGTGGGGCATACGGGGGAGGTGAGAACGACTGACTCCTCAGGTAGCGTCTCTGCCACTGTGGGGGTGGGAGGTCATCTAGGTCCGTGTCGCAAGCCTCGTTGACATTCAGGGGGTGGGGCATGTGATGGGGGTGACCCAGTGAGTGGAACGCTGACCTCTGGGGGTTGACCTGGCCGTTGGAATAGTGACTGTGGTACTGCTGCATCTGGGCCCCATTGTGTCCTGCATAGTTCTGTTTATTCCCATTCATGCTCAGATGTTTGGGTACGTTACACGGGTTAGACTTGCGTCGAGGTTGGGCGTACAAATCACCATTTACCATAACAAACTGATCGCTGTCACTGCCCATGCTTTTTCTATTGTCACGGACCGGCCCTTCCATTTGTAAATGCGTCAACGCTTGGAGTTCTGCCCCCTGCGCAGGTGGACGCTGCATGTTGGAAAGATTGTTATAATTCCCATTCATGCTTTCCTTTTCTACAGCGCTCAGATAACTCTTAGGCCGCAGTTGCTGGTTTTTGTCTGCCATATTATCATTAGCAGTGTTGCTTGGTTTGGTTACTATGTTGTGTAGGCGTGCAGGTTTGGGCGGGGGTTCCTGTGGAAGGCCAAAATTTGGTCTCTGAACTTGAGAATAAGTTTCGTCAATGTCTTCATAGTTATCAGTTGAAGAATTGGCAATGGGCATGAAGGTGTTTTGATGCTGGCTTATAGAAACAGGGTTGGGGTTAGGATATGGAGGAAGGGATGTATTTGGGTATGGTACATTGTGCTGAATATGGGAACCGTATGTTGGTGTAGATTGTGAAAAAGTCTGGCCAGTTTTCTGAGATGACTGGTTGGAATTTGAATTTTTAAGAATTCCGTTAGGTACAATCTGTGTGGTGTTTGGTTGGTGCTGCATAGTTGGTCCAGTTTGTTGTGAGGTGGTCGAAGCTTTAGGCGAGTGATGGGGAAAGGTTAAAGTTGAATCTGGCGTTTGAGGATCTGAAACAACTTTTCTCTGCACGTTTTCCCACAGAGTTTGGGCCTGTGTTGTTCCATCCGCCATCAACGTCTGCCACCTGTCTGATACAGCGGTGCCTTTACTGCTGTTTGAATCAGTTCTTCCTAGGCCTGTCTTTGCTGCTTCAGCAGCACTTTTTTCTTCTTCTTTCTTGGCATTCTTTTCTTTCTTGGATAATTTTTTCTTTCCTTTAGTTTTAGCTTGTGTTTCTGGCGTGTTCTCTTTTGACTTGGTGCCAGTCTTTGGCTCCGAGACCGAGGTGTCGTTGCACGACTGAGATGAGGATGACACGTCCGATGTCTGACGACTCATTTGGGTTTGTGAACTTGTTGGCGGGGAGCCAGCTGTTCCGAGAAGTTTAACATGGTTTAAGTTTTCAGCCGTAGTTGGCATTGTGGGTAATGGACGGGATACCACCTGATTTAGGGGTGTGGAGTTTGGTACATTAGTGCCTCGCATAAGGGAAGATGAGTTTGATGAGCATGAACCATCAGGGCTGTAGTAGCTTAAAGATGTTCGTGATGATGGGACATTTTCGTAAACAATTGGTCCAGTTTTTGGGACACTCCGCAAGTCGTATGTAATCATGGTCAGCGGCTCTTCGTTATCGTCGTTTGCTATGCTGGACTGCGGTTGCTGGCTTTGCTGAATCAACATCTGCTGTTGAATCAGCAGCTCTTTTTGTTGCTGTAGCTGAATTTGTTGCTGCTGCTGTTGCTGTATTTGCAAGAGCTGTTGATGCTGCAGCTGCTGAAGCTGTTGCAGCTGCTGGAGCTGGTACTGGGGGATCTGATGTAGAAGCTGGGACGGCCCCGCCATGCTCTGGTCGTAGTTGTACTGCTGCTTAAAGTGGTACGGCTGTGGTGTGTGTGACCGCACCAACTTAGCCGGCCTGTAGTCTAAGTCATCGTCCGTTGTTCGACTACTCGACAGTCGCTCCTGGCGGGGTGTCGGCGTCATCGCTCGTCTTTGAAGCTGCGTGAACATCAATGATGAATCAATATTATCCTGACTTGAGTCACTCAACACTGTGGCATTGTTCTGCTGTGCTGCTAAGGGCATGTTTATATTATTCATCCCATTGTTATTGGTCTTGTTGTCTTTCTTCGCTGACTGTTCAGACTCTTGTAAATATCGCATTTGTAAACTAAGAATCAGCATAAGCTGTTCACGGTCAAGTCCATGTAAGGTCACAGCACGCCGACCTTTTTTTCTGTGTTCTTTTAATCTGACAGTTCCGCCGACAGCCCCGGGGGTGGTTCTGTCCCCACTCATTAAAGACGACTCAGTCTGGTTTGATGCGGAACTACCGGGGCTGCCCTCTCTAAGCAGACCTCCCTTACGAGGCTGGTTAAAACTGTGGCACCGTCTCATACGGCAAGCCTCAGCATACCCCATAGGGACGTCCGCTGCGCTGTAGATTAAGTCACTCGGGGTCGTAGTACCTTCGTCGTTGGTTGTGTCCTCATCGTTGGTGGTGGCGTTGTTGTTGGTGTAGATGTTGACAAGTGTGGTGGCGTTGGTTGCTGTGGTGGATGATGCCGGTTGAGCTGGGAGCATGGAATGCTGCTCAGTGTAGTTTTCAGAACTGGTGCTTGGAGTGGAGGGTGTGCTGTCATCGTCGTAGTCTACTCCCTGTAACCACAAGATATGTGTACATTAAGATATGTGTACATTAAGATATGTGTACATTAAGATATGTGTACATTAAGATATGTGTACATTAAGATATGTGTACATTAAGATATGTGTACATTAAGATATGTGTACATTAGCAAGTCATTGTAACATCAGTGGGGGTTATTTTAACATTTACAGCCTTTATATTAAACATTTAAAAATTTGTTAACTAGAAAGTGTTTGAGGACACAAGGGGTTTAAGTCTAATGATAGGCTTTATGTTATTTTTATTAATAAAATCAAATATAAATAGAAAATCATACATAAAAAGCTTCAATTGATCAACTATAATATCTAAAGATGACCGACTTAGCCTTGTAGACATATTTTGATCATATCTAAAGTTAACAAAAACAGAGGCTACAATTTATTACTTGAGAAATGACAAAGTAACAAACCTCAAGATATTTCCTCTTGTATTCTGTTCTGTAAACCAGGAAAGAAATGATCCCAGATACTGAGCTGACTATGGCCACAACAACATCAATGGCTATCATTATAAACAACATTGTTGGGATGGCGTCCTTTATATCTTCACAGCTCAGTACACCCTCAAAAGTCAAGTAGACAGCTTCTGGAGGGTAAAAAGTTTATTTTATGAGGGTTACTGGTGGGTAAAAAGTTTGTTTTATGAGGGTTACTGGTGGGTAAAAAGTTTGTTTTATGAGAGTTACTGGTGGGTAAAAAGTTTGTTTTACGAGGATTTCTAGAAAATAATAAGTTAACTTTGTGAGGTTTTCTAGAAAATAATAAGTTAAGTTTGTGAGGGCTTCTAGAAAATAATATGTTACCCTTTGTGAGGGTTTCTAGAAAATAATTAATAATAAGTTAACTTTATGAAGGTTTCTGGAAAATAATAAGTTAACTTTGTCATAGCTTCTAGAAAACAAAAAGTTAAATTTTGAAATAATTCATTAAATTTTTTTTTAAAGTTAAATTAAAAAATAAATAAATAAAGGTTTAGTAGAAACAGCAGAATGATTTGTTAGGTCTAAGTACCCGCTTTAGTACATTTTGTAATAGTTCATGCTCACTTTATTACTAGGGTGAGGTAGTAGTTGAATTAGTAGATCAGTAGTTATTAAGGTAGTGGGGGGTTGGATGAAAGGGTAAGTTGAGGAAGGGGGAATGACACTCCCTTTCTGGACTATATTAAAGCCATCTGGTGCTAACATCAGGAATGTTTGGAGTAGATTACAATTTTTAGACTACTTCAACTGACCTTTGTTCAGAGTACATTAAAATTTGTAAACTGATTCAACTGACTTCATTTATTTGGAGTAGATTACAATTTGTAGACTAATTCAACTGACCTCGTTTGTTTGGAGTACATTAAAATTTGTAGATTAATTCAACTGACCTACTTTGTGTAAAATAGATTACAATTTTTTGACTAATTAACTGATCTTTGTATAAAAAAGATTACAATTTGTAGACTGACCTCCTTTGTTGACTTTTTCAATGTCCAGCTTGTTTCTCCGGAACTGGGTCAAACACTGACAGATGGTGCTCTTGCGCGTGTAGACGCAGCCGGACATGCTGAGCAGGGGCTGTATGACGTGGGTGCCTGTCAGGACAGCCGTGATGATGCAGAGGACAGCTGATACAGCACACAGAACAAGAACAGGATAGACCTGAGGGTAGAACATTGGTGTCAGAACATGGGGTATGTATAGGATTTAGTACTGCTGCATCTCTGGTATAAATAATGAGTATTGTCGGACAGAGTGGTCTAGTGGTAGAGAGCTGGACTGCTAACCCGTAAGTCTCGAGTTCGAATCCGGGTTCAAGTCAGTAGACTGTCCCTGAGTCCACCCAACTCTGATGGGTACCTAACTCACGTTAGGGAAAGTAAAGGCGGCTGGACATAGTGCTGACCACACTATCTCTTCATATGACGAGGTCACAGAAACAAGTGTACTCTACTTCACTTGCCCCATAGACCGTTTGAAAGGGAAACTCCTTTTTTTTTTATTGTCGGATTAACCATACCCATATAACTGTATATTACAAGCATCACAGAGAGTTAATGACACTTGTGATAAATTACACAATAAAGTCTACATACCCTAAATATAACTCTAGCCCAACATTAAGGGTAAGAGTATTGTATCTAGGATCACTTATAAAAATAGGTGTGTTGAACACATTATGGAATAAAATATGGAATTAGCTAAATTATTTGATTCATTGACTTATATATATATATATATATATGCCTATATATGCACAAGCTAACAAGGGCAGTTACAATTTAAATAAATAACTAAAAGCATTGTTAACTCCCTTTAATTAAAAAAAACCCATTGAACTATAAAATAAAGTAGCAGAATTTTTTTTTAAAATTACGTACCAGCAGTTTGTGTCTTTTCCAAAACAATAACAGCAATGTCAAGCCAGCAAGACCACCCTAAGGAAAAAAAGAGCAAATTAATTAAAGTCTTAGTTAGCATGGAAATACCATTTTTGTTTAAGTATGCATAAAATAAAGAACTTAAAATATTAAATGAACATAAATAGATCTAGGGCATTGAGGTCATGCAAAAGTGACGTCACGATTTGTACCTCTTACCTCCGTCACAAATAGCCCCCCCCCCCTCCAAAAATGACGTCACACCTGTCTGCAACCCCCCCCCCTCAAAATTGCCGTTGAATTTTCCTAAAAACATCGATATCTTTCCAAAATCGTGCCTGAACCATGTCAACATAGATCTAGACATTCTAGAGACTAAAATTTCCCGGAGGGGGCGGAAACTGTTAAAAGTACATATTTTCTATATAAATTCCATTTCGTTCAGGGGGGGGGGCAGTAGATCTATAGAATCTACTAGCGAAGGATACTTAAAGTTTTGATAGGCTACATTTTTCAACAACAAAGAAAGGTTCCAAATTCCCCCAACCCCTTTCCAGTCTGCATCTCTACACATCAAGAACTGCATTACTCTGCTTATTAAATTCTCCGCCATCCCCATCCATCACCTCCCCAACTAAAAAAAAATACTTGTTTATACAGTTTCCCCATGCACATGTTTTACGCGAATACAATGTGCGAGATATTATCGCAGCAATAAATTTAATCTGTGTTGAGATAAACACTAGATAGCACCCACAAAGGAAAACATTGAAAACCGCGTCAACAGAGCAGACGATGTTGTTTTTACCGTGCGATTTACCTCCCCTTGTGTCATGGGGTGATGTAATTACCGCCAGATAACACCGACACAGCGATCTGGTCAAAACGCACTTGCTAACGATGTGAATGTTTCATTGCTATTTCATGTTTGATAATCTACATAATAAATTTTAGAAGTTTGTCCTTGTTTTGTTGTGTCTGTTTTTTTTTTGTTTGACACTCGTGGTTGTGTCAATAGCAATTTGTTATTGTTGTATAGGCCTAGTGTATTTGTGGTTTACTTTGTTTAATAGCAGTGTGAGCGTTGCGTTAATTGAACTTAATTTGTTTTGTGCAATTTAGTTAATGTTGTAATGAAAGCAGATTAGTTGTGTTTGCGTTACTAGCAATGTCGCCGTTGTTGTAATAATAATGTTGCTGTTGTGTAAATAATCATTGTTGTAAAAAATAATGCTGGTTGTATCAAATAGCTCAATTGAACTCAAATATCCATCAAATCCACTCCGATACTCCATCAAATCCACTCCGATACTCCATCACATCCACTCCGATACTCCATCACATCCACTCCGATACTCCATCACATCCACTCCGATACTCCATCACATCCACTCCGATACTCCATCACATCCACTCCGATACTCCATCACATCCACTCCGATACTCCATCACATCCACTCCGATACTCCATCACATCCACTCCGATACTCCATCACATCCACTCCGATACTCCATCACATCCACTCCGATACTCCATCACATCCACTCCGATACTCCATCACATCCACTCCGATACTCCATCACATCCACTCCGATACTCCATCACATCCACTCCTCCACTCCATCACATCCACTCCGACACTCCATCACATCCACCCCCATAACCTCCGCTCCGTCATATCCACTCCAACACTCCATCATATCCACTCTGACACGACGAGACATCTACCCCTTCATAACACAACCACGCAACCCGGTTACAGCCCCCTCCCCTAAGACATAATGATAAAGAGTTAAGAAAAAAAAAGGGGGCGATGATCAAGGCAAAGATGACGTCTACCCTGGCTTATCGCCCGCTAATGCTTAAAGGTAACTCTAGACGCCCTGTCATACCCACTTCCCTCCCCTTAGCACACTACTCCAATGAGTGCATCCCAGTCTGATAAGCCTTTAAAAAAACCCACCAAATCTAAGCGCTGTAAATATTAGTTGATGTTTACATGTTAGTCCCACCTAAGGCGATCTCACTACACGGCGCCAGTCATAGGGCAAATGTTCAAATATTTATACTTACAAGCCAAAATATTTATAGAAAACAGAACATAGTTGTCATGTTGGGGGTGCGTGGATACACCTCTGGGTAAGGTCATGGATACACCTCTGGGTAAGGTCATGGATACGTCTTTAGCTCAGGACGTGAATACGTCTTTGGGGAAGATCGTGATACATCTTTGGGTAAGGACAAGGATATATATGCCTCTGGATAAAGGCTCTGGATAAAGGCTATGGATAAAGGCTATGGATTCGCCTTTGGATAAGGCCATGAATCAGTAGCGTAGCGGGGGGGGGGGGGGGACATATGTCCCCGGGCGCCAACCTTAGTGGGCGCCAAAATGGGTTGTGAAAATAAATTGAAAGGATGAGGAGGGTGCAAATCGAAAGTTTGAAGGGGGGTGGGGTGCAAATCGAACGTTTGAGGGGGGTGCAAATCGAAATCTTGAGGGGGAGGGGTGCAAATCGAAAAGTTTGTCCCCGGGCGCCGGGAAGGGTCGCTACGCCTCTGCCATGAATACGTATAAAAATGCGTTTAAAAATCTGCTCGTTAATTTTTAACCGTATCAAATGACTATTTTTACCCTACACAGACCAGAGAAAAATTGTAGCCTGTGTGAAAGCTGTTATTGGTTTAATGTATAGTGTTAGTGATTAGTAATTATTCCAGGGTAAATAAAGAGAAAGAGCGGGTCTATTTTGTCTGCCGCGGTTAGTGATGCAATGCATCACTGTACATCAAGAACTCGCTGTTTCCTTCCGGTATTTAGCCGGACAGTTTTTAACAACAACAAAAATCCTACAGTGTAGGCCTAGATGAGTCATGCTTGGGCTAAAACATATGGAGATCGCTGTGATAATTCTTATAAGAGGGAGGGTTAGTGGTAGGGGGTTATTAGTAATTTTTAAAAAGTGAGAGCTGTACTGTAGGTCTAGCTAGATATTGAAGAGCCGATGTGTTTTATGAGCGATGCGGTCTGCTGTGAGTAAGGGGAAGCCATCACGGTGCTCTCCCCTTGGCTTGGAGAGCTTCGGACTGTTTCACCCAGATCTGGTTCTAATGATGCTTTGATGACTTGCTCCGTGTAGAAAGAAAACAAAACTAGAAGTACACCCTAGCCAGTTCTTACTGTGTAAAGTATACCTAGTCAGCTGCTACCATTTAATGTATATCTATCTAAGGGCTACCTTTAAAAGTATACCTAACCAGCTGCTACTATTAAAAGTGTACTCATATACTCTAGCCAGTTGCTGCCATTTAAAGTATACCTAATAATTTTCTACCACCAGAAGTAAACCTACATACATAGTGGCTACCGTTAAAAGTATACCTAGCCGATCCCAGTTGCTACCATCAGAAGTATACCTAGCCATTGCTATCGTTAAGACACACCCAGCATTTTGCTACCACTAGACTTATTGCTACCATCAAGTAATGTTGTCCACGGTGCTACCTAGTCAAATACTAGAACAAGGGCGTTTATTTGTCCGTTCTTTCTACTTGTGGAAATAACTTTTTTTCTCCGCGAGAAGTGGCGCACCATAATGCACCGCTAGAATAAAAGTGGCGCACCATAATGCTCCAAAATTAAAAATAGCGCACCATAATGCACCGCTAGAATAAAAGTGGCGCACCATAATGCACCAAATTAAAAATAACGCATCATAATGCACCGCTAGAATAAAAGTGGCGCACCATAATGCACCTCCAAAATAAAAATAGCGCACCATAATGCACCGCTAGAAAAAAGTGACGCACCATAATGCACCGCTAGAGTAAATGTGGCGCACCAAAATGCACCGCTAGAATAACTCCTGTTTGGGGTTACCTAAGTAGAATCTAGATCCCTGGCTTGATAGTGGGTCTGCCGTAAGCTTCATTGGCAAGGCGATTTGGTGCTGTCGAATAGCTATGGGTTAGCAGTCTGCAGACTTCATATAGCTTATACAAATATTATGAAAATTCTATTTTAATTATTTATTTATTTAATGTTTTTTTGGGTTGTTGTTGTTTTTTTTTTTTTTTTGCATTCCAGATTTTTAAAGATTATTACCCGCTTAAATAATGCTTCTGTCATTGATAGGAGGGCAGCACATTATATAGTTCGTTATTTTCTGCAATAACTGCTAAGAATGTTAAGGGGTTGTGTCTATGGCTGCTACTTGGGTTAGGATTGGGGTGGCGATACAGCAAACAGTTTCAATTCAACCCTAGATACGGTTATAGAGGTGGTCGAGTTTTAGAATGTATTCTAGTGTGTTGGCGTGAGTGGGATTTGAACCCACGTCCACAGAGTATATCCAACCCATGGAATGTGCAGACGGCTGCACAGTTTATCCAACCCATAGAATGTGCAGATCACTGCACAGTAGATTATAAATACAACCCATAGAATGTGCCGACGGCCACACAACAAACCCATAAAATGTGCCGACGGCCACACAACAAACCCATAAAATGTGCAGACGGCCACACAACAAACCCATAAAATGTGCCGACGGCCACACAACAAACCCATAAAATGTGCCGACGGCCACACAACAAACCCATAAAATGTGCCGACGGCCACACAACAAACCCATAAAATGTGCCGACGGCCACACAACAAACCCATAAAATGTGCCGACGGCCACACAACAAACCCATAAAATGTGCAGACGGCCACACAACAAACCCATAAAATGTGCAGACGGCCACACAACAAACCCATAAAATGTGCAGACGGCCACACAACAAACCCATAAAATGTGCAGACGGCCACACAACACGCACAACTCATTGAATGTGCAGATAATAAACAGTTGAGCTTGAATCCCTTTGAGAAAATGTCAGGCATTCGGCAGTCAGGAATTAGAAAAGCTGCAGGAATAGCTGACTTAAACGTCTGGCAGTCACAGCCCGTACAACAGACACGGGTACATGATGGGAAAATTGTGTGTCTGTGTGGGGAGGGGGTAGAAGATGGAGGGGGGGGGGGGAGGAATCTGGGTGGGGGCGGATGTGT